GATCATGTGAGACCAATGGTTTTTCGTGAGACCCGTAAGACCAATTCACAACCTTTGGATTAGATCTATAATATGAAAATCTAAACATTCATAAATGTTATGAGACTTCTCAATAATCACAAAATTGTCATTGTGCAATTTAAACCATTGGATCATTCACTTATAAAGTTGATCAATGAATATAAATTGGTCTTACGGGTCTCACGAAAAACCTTTGGTCTCACGTGAACCCAACCCTATATATATATATATATATATATATATACTATCTTATTAAACAAATTTAACAAAAGTCTTAAAATACTAAATGACAAAAATACTCTTTATACTATCCTTTCACTTTTTCACTTTTTAACCCCCTCCTCTCCTCACCAATTTTTTTAAAATTATAATTTTTAAAGTTACACTTTATACCCCTATAATTAGTTAATTAATTTACTTTACGTTATTTACTTTTAAATGTTTCATTTTAAACATTTATCAAATTAACATACACAATCGTAGATCAATTAAAACATGTTTAAAAAATACATTTTTATTTTAACAAGTTACACCATTATAATCATCTCGTTAATACCTTCGAAATGAGTCMAATATTGWATAGTTTTTGACTTAATTATATTATTATATATTATATATACTGTGAAACAGTATTTTTAATATTTACGATTTATACTTTTATAGTTATTTATATATATATATATATATACTATATATTTTGGGGTTAGACTGTCCAAATTGCACTGTATAATATGTTCTGAAATAATATGTTCTTGGGTTTTTTTGAAATATATATACATGTATTAATTCAACCTTAATCTGAGTTTCTGGATAAGAAAGAGGGTAAGCAGTTGAAATTTCATTTTAAAACCCATATTTTTTAGTCTTTTTCATGGCTTATGATATGTCAAATTTGTAGTTTTCTTTATTGGTTTTGAGTGTTTATCTTAAAACTCAAGTTTCTTGGTTCTTTGCTCTTGGTGTAAATCGAACACATTTGTGGAGTCGTTTAAATATGTTGGATTTTAAATATATTGGATTTTAAAYTGTCATACAATTTTTTTCATCGATAGTCTGTAATTGGAACCATAACTCTTATTTATTCAAATTGTATTAATATGTAAAGACCAAGTGTAACCTATATTATCGTTAAATTTTATCTTATAAAACCAGTGAAACTTCAAAATCGTTAAAATTTATGGCTCCCGCTGCATTGCGCGAATATACAACTAGTATATATATAAGTTCTACAGTTTTTTTCTTTTTCAAGATTAACTCCTGTCTGACGGTTCCTTAAACATAAAAAAAATTAATGTTATTAATATTTTGTAATCATTTAATACATAAATAAAATTAATGATAGACATCATTTTATAGAAAATTTCTTACATAAAAATGAAATGAGCATGACTGCATGAATCAGGTGACTCATTCTGTCATTCATTATATATAAGCATACAAGCGTACCTCTAATTCATTGCTTCAAACTTAACCATGATTTCTTCATCTTCCGACCACCCTGAATCCTGCTCAGATCTGCCGTTGCGAGAAATCCCCGGTGACTATGGCTGGCCGTTCTTCGGACCCATCAAAGACCGTTACGACTACTTTTACAACCAAGGCAAGGACGATTTCTTCAAAACCAGAATTCAAAAGTACAATTCCACTGTCATTCGTACAAACATGCCGCCGGGACCTTTCATCTCCTCCAATCCCAGAGTCGTAGCCGTCCTCGATTCCAAAAGCTTCACCGTTCTCTTCGACAACACGAAAGTAGAAAAGAAGAACATTCTCGATGGCACCTATATGCCCTCAACGGCCTTCTTCGGCGGTTACCGTGTCTGTGCTTTCCTCGACACCGCCGAATCTAACCATCATGCTTTGAAATCGTTCTTCCTCTCGTTCCTTGCTTCGTCGCACAAGAAATTCATTCCCTATCTACGGACCAGCTTGTCGGAGCTCTTTGTGAGCCTCGAAAATGATATCTCTGATAAGAAATCGGCAGATTTTAATGACAACAGTGATAACATGGCGTTTGATTTTGTGTTTAGGCTGGTCACCGGAGTTAATCCATCGGATACGAAACTCCAATCGAAAGGTCCAGGAACCGTGAGCACGTGGTTAGCTCTTCAGCTAGCTCCGTTAGGAACGGCAGGGCTTAAATACGTTCCGAACTTCATCGACGACATCATCCACACCGTTCGTTTGCCTTTTTTCGTGATCAAATCTGGTTACAAGAAGCTCTACAATGCCGTTTACGATTCCGCAGCTTCTTTACTGGACGAAGCTGAAAAAAGCGGGATTAATCGAGAGGAAGCTTGCCATAATTTGGTGTTTCTCGCAGGGTTTAACGCTTTCGGAGGCATGAAAGTCCTGTTTCCGTCTCTCATCAAATGGATTGCATCTGGCGGCGAGAGTTTACATAACCGCTTAGCTGAAGAAATCAGAACCGTCGTGAAGGAAGAAGGAGACATCACTTTCTCCGCTTTGGAGAAGATGCCGTTGACTAAATCCGTCGTTTACGAGGCATTGCGAATAGATCCACCGGTGCCATTCCAATACGCCAAGGCGAAGGAGGACATTGTGGTGGAGAGCCACGACGCGGCGTTCCAGATTAAGAAAGGAGAGGTAATTTTCGGATATCAGCCGCTCGCCACCAAGGATCCAAAGGTTTTCATAAATCCAGAGGAGTTCGTCGCTGACAGGTTCGTCGGAGAAGGAGAGAAGCTACTACAGTACGTTTACTGGTCGAATGCGAGAGAAACAGATGCACCGACGGCGGATAACAAACAATGTCCGGCGAAGGACCTGGTGGTGCTGTGCTCCAGGTTGATGCTGGTGGAGCTTTTTCTCCGGTACGACACTTTCACGGCGGAGGTCGGCACACTAGCACTCGGCACCTCCATCAAGATCACATCGTTTACGAAGGCCACTTGAGTTATTTTTTTTTTTCATGTATTTTAATTGTGTGAAAATTTTTTTTCTATATGATCTGTTCTTGTAATGATAAATATATTTATATTTACCATATCATTTTATGTGTATCCGTGCAATGCAGTGGAAGTCGTGAATTTTAACGATTTTGAAGTTTTTTACTGGTTTTATTAAAGAAGATTTAACGATGATATAAGTTACACTTGGTATTTACATATTAATACAATTTGAATAAATAAAAGTTATGGTTCCAGTTATAGTTTATCGATGAAAAAAATTGTATGACAATTTAAAATCCAATATATTTAAAATCCAACATATTTAAACGACTCCACAAATGTGTTCGATTTACACCAAGAGCAAAAAATCAAGAGAGCGCGACCAAGAGTTCTAGAGCAATTGATTGAGAGATGAATGAGAGAACTTTTAATAACTCATGGTAAATATCAGTTTGAATCTCATCTTTGGGGATGGGGAGAAGACTTAGAGGTATGAGAAGGTGAAAACATGAGTAAAATGTGTCAAAAATATATTGGGAACATGAAAAAAAAAGATAATAATGTGCATTGGTAACTTGTATTACATGTTATTTTAGTTGTAAATTAAGAGATTTTAAGACTTGATGCATAAAGTAGTAGTACTTAATGCATTTTGAGTTGTTTTTAAGAGTTTATGCATAAATGTATCTATACTATCTTATTAATCAAATTTGATAAATGTCTTAAAGTTTTAAAAAAAGTACAAAATCTAAAACACAAAGTACTTGTTTTTAAAACACAAAAGTACTTGTCTTTTAAGCTTTCTTTGAGGAAATCTAAAACACAAGATGGCTTTTAAGCTTTCCCTACATAAATCTATATTTATATCTATACTATCTTATAAACCAGATTTTTTGAAAGTCTTAAAAATAATTTTTAATGCACAAAGTACTATACATTTATGCACAAAGTTTTAAAAGTCTTAAAACCAACTCATAATGCATTAAGTACTACTACTTTATGCATTTAGTCTTAAAATCTCTTAATCTATAATTAAAATAAAATATAGTACAAGTCTTCACCTTCTCATCCCTCTATGTTCCAAATATACTTTTGACACATTTCACTCATGTCTTCACCTTCTCATCCTTTTATGTCTTCTCCTCATCCCCTAATGTGAGATTCAAATTGATATTCACCATGAGTTATTAAAAGTTCTCTCATTCAATTGCTCTATAACTCTCGGTCTCGTTCTCTTGATTCTTTGCTCTTGGTATAAATCGAACACATTTGTGGAGTCGTTTAAATATATTGGATTTTAAACTATCATACAATTTTTTCACCGATAAACTATAATTGGAACTATAACTCTTATTTATTCAAATTGTATTAATATGTAAAGACCAAGTGTAATTTATATCATTGTTAAATTTTCTGTAATAAAACCAGTGAAACTTCAAAATCGTTAAAATTCACGGCTCTCCGCCGCATTGCACGGGTACACAACTACTAGTACTTTATGTATTAGATTTTTTAAAATTTTGATAAATCTAATTTATAAGGTAGTATAGATATAAAATTACGAATAGAATAATGAATTTAGGTCATCGAGTTTTTGGAATAATCAATCGTGTATCATCATAATCGTTTCTTTATTTGTTATAATGCTACCTACTCGTGTATTCACCACCCCACGGTGCCTTTTCTATGCCAACACATATATATTTTAAATTATAAATTATATAAAAATATAACATATTTTAATTTGATTCCTATTTTGGTATCTTAGAAGTAAGAGGCTTTTTAATCGGTACTTTTGATCTACAGATCTAAAACCTTAGGTGACTCGGAGTTCTAATGTTATCAAAAAATTCAAAGTCGATAACTCAAAACCACAAAAGTTTTGGGTTGTTCGGTTTGCGGGTTTAATGCGGATACGTTTACCTCTCGATCATTTCTCTCTCAAATTTTCCAAAAAGTACTTCCTCCTCAATAGCAACTCCTCAACCGGTAAAAAATCAAAAAGTTAAAAAAAAATTGAACATAATCCACAAGTACATGAATCAAATCTGTAAATTAGTCCAGATGTTTTTCAACTTGTGGAACTGCTACTTGATAGTAATTTACAGATCCGGTTCATTTACTTGCGGACCCTTCAAAGTCAAATTCATTTCACAGATTTTATTGCATTAAAAAAAACATTTTGCGAACCAAACATCCCTTAACTTTTTGTAAACAATTAAGCATATAAATAACATTAACACAATTACTCAATTGTTAATGAACATATAAATATCATTAATACAAACACTTAATAATTTAACAAACATATAGTTGATACCTAATAAATTTATAAAATTCTAATTTTTACAATTAGAGTATGCTTGGTTTTGATGGAGGTTTTTGAGAGATTTGGATTTCGTGGAACGATTGGAGGGATTTTGATTTGGAATTTTTAATGTGTTTGGTTTGTTGGATTTGGAATGGAATGGAATTGAATTCCACTTTTTATAAATAGTTATAAAATAACTGAATTACCTCTCTATTAGTTGATTACTAGAAGCGTACTCGCGCAATGCAGCGAGATACATCGTGTTTTTAATATTTCATTTTATTCTTTATCTCAGTCGATGTTATAATATGACTTTATGTAATTTTGAGAAAGCGATGATGTTTTTATTTTTGAATAAAAAATATGTTTGACGATATAATAAAAATTTGACAAAAATATATCGATATTAATATCAAATTAACTATTTGAAATTCTTCATTTTTTTGTGTAATTTTTTAATCCAATTTTTTTATAATTTAATTTATGTACAATAACGAATTAATTTATATTTGGTTTGATAATATAATTTTTTATAAAGATAATAATTA